GCACTTGGGAGGCAGAGGCAGAGGGATCTCTGTGAGTTCAAGGCCAGCCTGGTCTACATAGTGAGTTCCAGGACAGCTGGGACTACAGGGAGACCCCCTGTCTCAAAAAGGCCAATAAAAAATTATGATGTTTTTATTTCAAACAAACAGAAGAGTAGTTTCAATTATAAACTAGTTTGTATAAGAATAGTTTCACTCTCTGAAACTCTTTGTGGCTCCAATTTAGGAACAACTCTTCTGGTCTCATTTGCCTCTGCCGGGACATCTGTTATCTGAAGTCAACTGGTATGAAACTACATCACAAGTGCAATCATCGCATACCAAGCCAGTAAATCCACGGCTCTCTGAAATCCTTATCTTTGTGTAGTTCTTAATATTTTATTTTTCTGTGTATATGTATACACACACACATATACAGAGACACACACACATACACACATACACACACACACACATGGCAGTTCTGGGTATTGAACCTAGGGACTTGTGTGTTTGTTTTGTGGGGTTTTTTTTTGTTGTTTTTGTTTGTTTGTTTGTTTGTTTTGGTCTTTTTGAGACAGGGTCTCCCTTTAGCCCCAGCTGTCCTGGAACTCACTATGTAGATCAGGCTTGCCTTGAACTCACAGAGATCCGCCTGCCTCTGCCTCCCGAGTGCTGGGATTAAAGGCATGCGCCACCACGCCCGGCTTTTTTGTTCTTTTTGATACATGGTCTCCCTATAGCCCCAGATGGCCTGGAACTTGCTATGTAGACCAGACTGGCCCTGAAGTCACAGAGATCCGCCTACCTTTGCCTCCTGAGTGCTGGGACTTGTGTGTTTTTATTGATACATACAGCCTTATGCAAACTATATAACCTTACTGAACTAGACCCCAGTTCTCTCCAAGATGTTTAAGTATCCACACTTTAGGAATTCATAGAGGAAGCTGGGCGTGGTGATGCACACCTTTAATCTCAGCACCCAGGAGGCAGAGGCAGGTCAATCTCTGTGAGTTCAAGGCCAGCCTGGTCTACATAGGGAGTTCCAGGCCAGCTGGGGCTATAAGGAGACCCTGTTTCAAAAAGACCAAAAAAAAATTCATAGAGGGGCTGGTGAGATGGCTCAGTGGATTAAGACACTTGCTGCTGAATTTGATCCCCAGGATCCACATGATGGAAGAAGAATCAACTCTTGCAAGTTGTCCTCTCTCTCTCTCTCTCTCTCTCTCTCTCTCTCTCTCTCTCATTTTCATTCCCCTGATGATTAGGAAAACTGGATGTTTTTCACTTTATATTATTTATATTTATTTTTTGTCTTTTTTAGACAGGATCTCCCTGTAGCTCCAGCTGGCCTGGAACTCACTGTAGAGGCTGGCTTTGAACCCAGAGATCTGCCTGCTTCTGCCTGCCTGCCTCTGCCTCCCTAGTGCTGGGACTAAAGGCACGTGCCACCATGCCAAGCCTGTAACAAAGTATTTTAAAAAGAACTCATAGAGCCAGGTGTGGTGGCGCACACCTTTAATCCCAGCACTTGGGAGGCAGAGGCAGGTTGATCTTTGTGAGTTCGAGGCCAGCCTGATCTACATAGTGAGTTCCAGGACAGCTGGGGCTACAAGGAGACCCTGTCTCAAAAAGAGACAATAAATAAATAAATAACTAAATAACTAACTAAATAAATAAATAAAATAAAAATAACTCAAAGAAAGACTATGAGCATGGTTATGCACACCTGTAGCCCCAACACTGGAAAGACTAAGACAGGCCTTCCTGTCTTAGAGTTTGAGGTCAACCTGGGCTACTTGGTGAACCCTGTCTCAAAAAACAAACAAACAAACAAAAAATCAACAAAAAAAAATAAAAAAAGCACAGAAGAAGGATGACATTGTATGAGTAGTAATAGGAAAATGATTTAACTTTTGGTATGTTGTCTGACAACTACTTAAACTGACTTTCCCACTATCCTTGAGGTTGAAGCATGCTTTTCTCCTCTATCTTTAAAAAAATATTTTATTATTATTTTTTAATTTTATGTGTATGAGTGTTTTGCCTGCATATAAGTGCACCCATGCTATGCAGTGCCCACAGAGGCCAGAAGAGGCTGTTGGATCCCCTGGAATTGGAGTTAGGGAGAATTGTTAGTCACCTTGTGGGTGCTGGGAACCAAACCCAGATCCTCTGCAAGAGGATCCTCTGCCAGTGCTCTTAACTGTTGAGCCATCTCTCCAGCCCCTCAATATCATCATTGAAATGTAAAAGGATAATATTCAAGGGTTAATAACAGCAACAGAGAAGCTCAGACATGGAAGAAATTTTGAGAAAGCATTGTTTACTCATTAGCAAATTATTTGTGGTTATTTAACCAATGAGCTTATTTACTTTAAAAAATCTGAACACACAGATATTGCTTAAACAGAACAAAGTTCAAAGAAAGATTGATTTAACCAAATCAAACCGATGTGCCAACATCAACAAACCCAAGATTATTCCAAAGGAGTTGCATAGAAAGAGAACTATGGATCTAATGGAAGTTTGAGACCCTGCCTAAGCATTTACCTTTGAAGAGGGACCCTGGTTTTGTCTGACTTCATGAAGCTTTGGTTTCTAAGCTCTATTTTCTCTTCAAAACACTGTAAGGCTTGAGTCCCCCCCCCCAGTGTTCTTTGATATGTAATTATGTAATTTTGGATTTTATTAGAGGTGTTCAAAGATGAAAAGTTTGATCAAAAGTATCTTCATCCTAGCTGGGCGTGGTGGCGGCGCATGCCTTTAATCTCAGCACTCGGGAGGCAGAGGCAGGCAGATCCTCTGTGAGTTCGAGGCCACCCTGGTCTACAGAGTGAGTTCCAGGCAGCTGGAGCTACAGGGAGACCCTGTCTCACAAAGGCCAAAAAAAAAAAAAAAAAGTCTTCATCCTCAAAAAGCCTACCTGGATTTTATTTATTTATTTAACGTATATGAGTGTTTTGTCTGCATGTATGTACGTAAGTGTGCCATGCAATGGCTGAAGAAGCCAGAAGAGGTTGTTGGATCCCCTGGAACTGGAGTTAAGAATGATTGCCAGCCTCCACATAGATGTTGAGAAATGAACCCATGACATGACCTGCAAGAGTAGCCTAGCCAGTGCTCTTTACTGCTGAGCCATCTCTCTAGTACACATTTTTTCTTTCTTTCTTTCTTTTTGGTCTTTTTGAGACAATGTCTCCCTATAGCCCCTACTGGCCTGGAACTCACTATGTAGACCTGGCTGGCCTTGACCTTGAACTCACAGAGATCTGCCTTCCTCTGCCTCCTGAGTGCTGGGATTAAATGTGTGTGCGGCAACACTCAGCCAGATTTTTTTTTTTGGGGTCTTTTTGAGACAGGGTTTCCCTGAAGCCCCAGCTGGCCTGGAACTCACTATGTAGACCAGGCTGGCCTTGAACTCACAGAGATCCGCCTGCCTCTGCCTCCCAAGTGCTGGGACTACAGGCGTGCGCCACCACGCCCGGCTCAGTCAGATTTTTTTTTAAAAAAGGAATTTAATGATTGAATTGCACTCACAGTAAGTACATGTTTTAGTAAGGTCAGCAAATGATAACAAAAACAGGATTAGGATGAAATTTACATGGATTTCTTACTGCTTGGTTTTTTTTTTTTTTTTTTTGGTCTTTTTGAGATAGGGTCTCTCTGTAGCCTCAGCTGTTCTGGAACTCACTACATAGACTACAGTGGTCTTGAACTCACAGAGATCCACCTGTCTTTGCCTCCTGAGTGCTGGTATTAATGGCATGCACCACCACGCCCCCGACGCTAGTTTTAGATCCTGTTCTTTTTCTATATAACAATTCATAGCAGGCATTAGATGTTAAATTAATTAGGTAAGATGTACTTTCCCCTGGGATTGTGAAACCCATGGCATAGCATGACATTTTAATCAACAGTACAAATCTCTGAAGGACTTTGCTATCTGCTTGAAGCAGGAAAAGCCAAAGTAGAATGAAGGCAGCTAAGATCATTATTGATATCACTATGTTGTGTAATCACCCAGTTTCTACTTCTCTTTGGCCTCAAAAGTCAAAAAGTGTATTTAAAAAAAAAAGTCCACAAACAACTTGTTCAGAAAAGAAATTTGAATTCTTCCCCTTAATGTAAACTCTTAGAGGAGGAAATAAAACTGCCTTTAAAATTGTGTGTGTGTGTTACTAGGGATTAAACTCAGGGCTTCCCAAACGCTAGGCAACCGCTGTACCACTGCTCTAACATTTTTCGAGACCGACTCCTGCTAAATTGCCCTGGCTGGTCTTGAAGTTCAGTCTTCCCAGTACTTGGTGCTACAGGCATGCAACACTACATCTAGCTTAAAATTGCCATTTAACTGTGTTGTTCTTAGGCCCCTGGTTTGATCCCGGCATTAAATAAGTGCTCTTGGGGCTGACATACAGCTCTGATAGAGGCCTTGGGTTCCATTCCCAACATGGAGGCGAGAGGGAGGAGCGGTGATCAAAGTGGTGAGAGTGGACTTCATTCAGTGTGGTTGTGCTATGAATAAGCGAGTTTCAAGATTAAGATGACCTCTGAGTCGCCCACTCCTTGACTTCATCACATTTTTTTTAACTAGAGAAGGTCTTACCCTAGCTCTGGGTGGCCTGTCTCTCTCTGAACTTAGGGCAATCCTCCTGCCTCTGTTTCTGCTTCCCCAACTGTTCATCACTTTCCACAAACATCTCTGCAGAGTCCCTTCCGGCTTGCACCTGGCCTATGACTAAAAGATGTTCTGAACCTGTGTCGGCAGTGGGTGAGGGTGTGTGTGTGGGGGGGGGGGGGGGTCCTCCGCAGATGACGTCAGCCGCGGCAGGTAATCCAGCCCAGAATCCCGTAACAGCCACCGCCCGTCCGTCCCACCCCACGACGCCATCGCCCTCCAACTCCGTCCTGTCAGCGAGGTGACGGGCTCCAGGGCGGGGATTTCCGTAGCGGTGACACAGGCCACTTCCGGCGGGCGGCGGGAGACAGTGACGTGGCAGGCGAGTCCGAACCCGGTCCTCTAGGCTGCGACGCGGGACTGTCAGGTGGCCTCGGGGCAGACCCGAGCCGGGCAACGGCTGCCAGCCCGGAGCCGGAAGTGCCACGTGTCTGCAATGCGCCTGCGCGGCCGGCGGCTGACAGGCACTTCCGCCCCGGGTCTCCCTCCTCTCCCCGCTCAGCTGCCGACTGCGCGCCGGGCGTTCGCGGCCCTGCCGGCCTGACACCCGAGCCTTTCAGCTCCCGGCCCGGCTGTGGGCGCCGGTGGCGCGGGGACAGCGAGGCGCCATGCCTGGGCCCTGACGCGCTGCCCTTCCTGGTTTCGGGCTGACGGCTGGCGGCTCCCTGCGCTCCGCTTTCGTCTTCGATTGCGCTCGGCGCGGCGGGCGACCCCGAGCTGTCCAGCCGACCCTGCGCACCGCCGCGGTCATGTCCCAGCCCGGCTCCCGCGGCGCCACGGCCGGCCTGCAGGCCCAGAACGGGGCCGCGGCGGCCTCGGGGTCTCCCTATAGCAACGGTGAGTCTGCTCGGGCAGGGAGGGCGGCGTGGCCTGGCTTGGCTCCGGGGGCTGCGGCGGCCGAGAGCGTGACGGCCGGGCCGAACTGCGGCGAGGGCTGCGGAGACCGCCCGGCTTGCAGCCCACACCTACACACCGCGCTCGTCGGCGCTCCGGGTGTATTTGTATATTCTGTCTGCAGGCAGGGAGCACCTGCTGTATACAGCGCCTGGGGTGCATAGGGGTGGACAGAATCACGGGATTAGGGCTATCCTCGGAACTGCCTCTGAGTGCCTGGGTGCAGTCACCTCCCTCCAGTCTCCCGGAGGGCAGGGTTCACCTCGGTTCTGCAGACACCAAGTATGTGGGGTCGGATTTATTAGTTTGCAGATGTGAGCGACTTTACTGCCTTTGGTAGTCCCCTTCCTTGAGCGCCTACCCATCCCTCCAAGGATCGCCCCAGAACTGATCTCTATTCAGTGTCAGCTATGGGAGAGCTAAACAGAACGGCGATTTGGGCTTCGTTTCTCCTTCACTTGGAACATGGTTAGTCACAACTCCCTGAACCTCTGAGGAAGAGTGTACATCTGGAACGGTAATTTGTCATTCTGGTGTGAGATTGTTTTAATTTGATACCTCTTGGATTCCTTAAATGGCCTTATAGTGAGATTTGCCAAGCTTATGTTAATTGTTATAATAAAGACAAGTTTTCTGCCTATAGCTTTGCCAACTTGCTAATTAGCCTACAAATCTTTGCTTTACCGGGAGAAGACTAGTAGAATAGTACTAAAGAATTGAATGTGCCCATTGGAGTCTAAGATTGCTGGGAAGCTGGAGAAAATAGCCAGTGAGTAAAATTGCTAGTTACATTTAGAGAAGACTCCTGTTTTCTTTACAAAGAGAGCTCTTTGCAGGACTTTTAAAAATGTCTGTGGGTAGGCAACTATGTGTGTGTTGGGGGTGGGGGCTAGCTGGGCATGCACTGAGCAGTTGTTAGCTTGAATCAGTTGTTCTTTCTGAATTTATAGTAACAGACTATGTAAACTACATTTAATTCTGTGCTCCTTAGTAACATTTACACAGAAGATGAAATTATTCATTTTAAAGTGAAAAAAAGGTAAACAAGATGTCATGGGTATGGGTTTTTCTTACAAATTGCATTTTGCCTTAGACTTTGTAAGTGGCAAATTCTGCAGATGTTCTTCTGAGTTTATGTGCAGGTGGACTGGTCAGGGTTTTGAAGTGTGAGAGGAATTAATTTAACCATTGTGGTATGCTATGTTGGAGATGTCATTTCATTGATTTTAGTTAGTGGGTTGTTTTGTTGTTTTGTTTTTCAGAGTCTCACTGTGTAGACCAGGCTGGCCTCAAACTCACAGAGGGTTTTTTTTTAATTGTATTTATTATTTTTATTTTATGTGTATGAGTGTATTGCCTGCATGTATGTGAGTGCGCCCGTGTTGTGCCATGCTGAGGTCAGAAGAGAGCTTTGGATTCCCCTGGAACTGCAGTTAAGGAAGGTTCGTAGCCACCATGTGGGTGCTGGGAATCGAACCCGGGTTCTCTGTTCTCTGCAAGAGCAGTCAGTGCTTTTAACTGCTGAGCCATCTCTCCAGTCCCCCTGTTATTTTTAAGATTTATTTATTTTGACTTTGTGTATATGTGAGTGACTGTATTTATGTGTGTGCATCATATGTGTGCCTGGTGCCTGCAGAGGCCAGCAGAGGACTACAGATCCCTTGGAACTGGAGTTGTGTGCAGTTGTTAACTGCTCTGTGCATTCTGGGAACTGAAAGAGCATTAAGTGCTCTTAACCCCTGAGCCATTTCTCTAGCACTGCCCCCCCTCGGCCCCCTTTTTGAGACAGTCTCAGGGTGTAGCCATGGCTGGCCTGGAGCTGACAGGTAGCTGCCTGTGTCCCCAGTGCTGAGATTTTAGTTTTTTGAAACAATGTCTCATTCTGGAACTTGTAACAATCCTCCTGTTTCAGCTGCCCTAGTGCTGGGATTACAATGCTGGAATTTCCATGTCCCACTTTGTTAATTTGATCAAGGCCCAGCATGCATTTGTTACACATCTAAATTCTGACCTTGGGGATAAGAGAAAATAAGAAAGCACTCCCTGGGGCTCTTGTCTTTAATCCCAGCACTTGGGAGGCAGAGGTAGGCGAATCTCAGATCAAGGTGATCCTGGTCTACATAGTAAATTCCAGGCCAGCTGGGGCTACAGGAAAACCTTGTCACAAAAAAAGAAAAAAAGAAAAAAGCACTCGCTGTATGTGGTTTGAGTAGAACCATTTGGAAATTGAGGTATGTAAGTGGTGATTGTGATTCAGTGCAGTAGCCACTGGGAAAATGTGGCCCACAAAAGGGAGGAAAATCCTGACTGTAAATATAAACCTTTTCTAAGCTGTCCTACAAGCTGTGTTATAATACCCATTTTTAAAGTGTTCTCTTCAATAAGTGGCTAATCTTCTTTGTTGTGTTGTTTATCTCCAGAAAAGAGGGATGTGATAGTGCCTTGTAGGGTTAGGAGGTGAGGTGAAGAAAGGCTCAGTGCTGCAGTCTACTGTGGTTAACTTCTTCAAGCTGTAACTTCTGCTTAAGTGTTCTGTGTGAAAACTCTTAAGCAATTGATTTAAGGTAGTCTGTATAAGTTAACATATTCAGTATGGTTAGACCTTAAGATATTTAGATTTGTTCAAAAGACTTAGTAACAGTGACCTTTTTCATTTCTCTGTGTTGCTTTCTTACATTCTTCCTGTGGCAAGCCATTCTGCTCTGATGGGTTGATATGTTGCATTACAACCTAAAGATTGTTAAGACAGGTATTTCCAAATCTTTATATAGATCTGTGTATACGTATTTCCTTTGCAAAAATTGATTATGAGGCTGCAAGACTGCTAAAACTAATGTATCTTAATCTGCTTATAAGGTTAAAGGCAAATAATGATTCCCATCATTCTATAGCTGTGTATGAGCTGTTTGAATCCACTTGCCAGGGCAGTTAGAAGCTGAAGTTTCATTAACTTCATCTCTGTAATATAATATTTATGTTGCCTGCTTGCCTGCCTTCCTTCCCTTCCCTCCCTTCCTTCCTTCCTTCCTTCCTTCCTTCCTTCCTTCCTTCCTTCCTTCCTTCCTTCCATCCGTCTTTTTGAGACAGGGTCTCTGTAGCCCTAGCTGGCCTGGAACTTGCTATGTAAACCAAGCTGGCCTCGAACTCACAGGGATCTGCCTGCCTCTGCTTCCTGAGTGCTGGGACTAAAGGTGTGAGTCACCACACCCGGCTTGTAGCAGTTCTTACATACAAAATTAAGGATAAGGTGGATACCCTCTTTCCCTTGCAGTTCTGTGAGGTAATGTCTGACTCCTTCTGGACTGTAAGTCCTGTGCAGGTAAGCTCATCTACCTGCCTTCGCCCAGCTTTCTTTAGCAACCCCCCTAGTGTCTAGCACATTGTAGGATTTACCAATTTTGTCAAACAGATTTTACAATTGAGTGTTTTACAACTCAATTCACTAAATATGTATACATTTATTTATAGTAAGATTTGAGCTCATTTTCAACCTTTTTTTCAGAACCTTTTTAAAAATATTCCCTGTGGATTTTGGAGAGCAGGTTCATCAATAAAATATTAGGTTTGCACTAATGTTTATTTTATGAATAGGTCTTTTAGTTTCCCTCTGGTGTAAATCTTGCTGATGATTGTGTATTAATATATAGAATCTTTTCAAAAATCTTTATTTTTGGTCGGGCTTGGTGGCGCACGCCCTTTCATCCCAGCACTTGGGAGGCAGAGGCAGGTGGATCTCTGTGAGTTCAAGGCCAGCCTGGTCTACATAGTGAGTTCCAGGACAGCTGGGGCTACTGGGAGACCCTGCTTCAAAAAGACAAAAAAAAAAAAAAAAACCTATCTGGTCTTGAATGCTGATTATTGTGGCTAAGTTCCATTAGTGTTTTCAGTATGGGCAGTAAGTGGGTTCCCATAATACTCTTTGATTACCTCTGTTAGAACTTAACCACGTTGTAGGCAAAGGATATAGCTTAGTGGTAAAACCCTGCTTAGTATACACAAAACTCTGCGTTCAATGTCCAGTGGTGCAAAAAAAAAAAAACAAAATGAGAACCTAATCCAGTGCGTGTAGTAACCATTGAGCTTCTTTTTTGTCTCTGTTGACAGGGCTCCAGAAGACCGAAATAGTAACAAGAACTAACATTTATTGTTTAGTTATTGTGTATCCAGGCCCCTTGCTAGATCGCATTGTATGTAGCATCTAATTTAATCCTTCCAACAACCCCCTGGGGTAAGAGCAAGGAAGCTGATGAGTGGTTGAGTAGCTCAGGGTACACAGGTAACTGAATTGTGGAACCCAGATTCAAATGAAGGCTGCTTAGCTACTCTTGTTTACTTGATCCCAAGACCCCATCCTTGAACCCGTGCCTGCATCAAGAATCAGATTTTGGTTTCATTATGTAGATGTATTCCTATAATTATAATAAACAGTTGCTGACAATTTCAAGCCTGTCTCCTAGTTTATTTTCCTTTGTTCCCCTCCCCCTTTGTGTTTTAAGTAATGTGTGACCTGATTGTAACTTTTGTTGGCATTTAGTCCATTTCATTCCTGTTTGAACCTCTTTTTTGTCATTGTCTTTCTTCCTCCCCCTCCCCCTCCTTCTCTTCCTCTTCGTCCTCATCCTCATCTGCTCTTTTTCGGTGCTGAGTACCTAAAGAAGGGCCTTATATTTGTGAAGGAAGCCCTCTACTACTGAGCTAAATATCAAGCCTCTCTACATGACTGTTCATAAATGTCTTGCAGATTCAGAAATTGCTCCTATTCACTTGGCTTCCCAGAATTTGCTTTCTTCCTTTTGTTGTCTTGTTTGTTTACAATGCTGAGGATCAAACCCAAGCTTGGTGTACTGGGCAAGCACTCTACAGCTGAGCTATACCTCAGCCCCCTTTTTTTTGAGTTTTATTTATTTTTATTTTATGTGTAGGAGTGTATTGCTTGCATGTAAGTGCACCCATATCGTGCAATGCCTGCAGAAGCCAGAAGAGGGCGTTGGGTCCCCTGGAACTGGAGTTACAGACAGTTGTTAGCTGCTATGATGGTGCTGGGAATCAAGCCAGGGTCCTCTGGAAGAGCAGCCAGTGGTCTTAACTGCTGAGCCATCTCTCCAGTCCCTGTTTGCTTTTTTTATGAGACTGAGCCCAGGTTGACTTAAAACTAATTATATAAGCCGGGTGTGGTGGTGCACACCTTTAATCCCAGCACTCGGGAGGCAGAGGCAGGCGGATCTCTATGAGTTGAAGGCCAGCCTGGTCTACATCGTGAGTTCAGGTCAGCTGAGACTACAGGGAGACCCTGTCTCAAAAAGCCAAAAAAAAAAAAAAAACCTAATTATATAACTGAGAATTTCCATCAATTTCTAGTCCTCTAGCTTCTACCTCCCATGTGTTGGCATTACAGGTATGTGCCACTACCACTGGCTATTCTTTCTTTTGTTTTAGTTTTTGTTTTGATAAATTCTTCAGGTAAACAGGGTATTTTTAAAAAATATTTCTTTACTTTTTTATGTGTATGAGTGTATTGCCTACATGTATGTGAGTGCATCCATGTTGCGCAATGCCTCAGAGGTCAGAAGAGGGCTTCGGATTCCCCTGGAACTGGAGTTAAGGACAGTTCATAGCCACCATGTGGGTGCTGGGAATTGAACCCAGATCTTCTGCAAGAGCAAGCCAGTGCTCTTAACCGCTGAGTCATCTCTCTGATCCCAGGTATTTTGATAATATGTGAGTGAGCTACTAAATTAATTTTTCCCCTGTTTATCTTTTCTTTATCAACTGTATTTAAAAGCACATACATAGCTCTGGAGAGATGTCTCAGTGGTTAAGAGCATGTATGCTTGAAGTACACTCATACACTAAAATAAAAATAAA